GATTTTGAACTATGATGCAAAAGCATGATAGAGCAAATATGTGAATTGACAGATCAGATTATCAACCATTCAAATATACCTAATGGGCAGGACAGTAGGAGGCACGTGCAGAAAGACGACATTATACAAATAATAATTCCTCTAATGTAAAGAGATAATATAGGTCATGAGAATGTTTCTTCAGCACAGTTAGTTTATTCACAAAGATTTCCAGCTGTGTTAGCTGAGGTCTAATCAAAAACCAAGAGGAATCCTATTCAAGCCAGAAATACCTTTAGTTCCAGGCTGGAATCCTATGAAGGTATCAAACACAGCACAGGCCACCCACCGTTGCTTGGTTCATGGTTCCCATTCAGGGAGGTATAAAGAAAGGCAGGCTTGAATTGAATCTTGGCGTGACCTCCTCAGAACCTGGGAACAGGGATGACTGGGTGTTCTCATTGTTTGTTTGCCAATGCTGGAGGGAAAGCAGCTGCTACAGACCTCACAAAACAGATCATTGGCCATGGAATACATTAATGAGGCCTGGAAAAAGAAACTGGTGAGAGTCAACAAGCAAAATGAAATTTAATAAATTGAGGAGACAGAGTTTCCTTTGACACTTTCTCTCAAAATACTCTGTAGATATCCTTTTTCCTCAGAGCTACCAAAAAAATTATGGAGTGAGGGTCAGCAGATAAAACAAAAGTTTCCAAATGGCAGAATAACATCTGATACTATTCAGAAAGCTATCCAAAAAGATTTTGGTTTATTGTATTTCTTATTCTTTTCAGCAGCAACTTTGTACCTTACATACACTGCTCAAAAAAAATAAAGGGAATACTTAAACAACACAATGTAGCTCCAAGTCAATCACACTTCTGTGAAATCAAACTGTCCACTTAGGTAGCAACACTGATTGACAATCAATTTCACATGCTGTTGTGCAAATGGAATAGACAACAGGTGGAAAGCATAGGCAGTTAGCAAGACATCCCCAATAAAGGAGTGGTTCTGCAGGTGGTGACCACAGACCACTTCTCAGTTTCTATGCTTTCTGGCTGATGGTTTGGTCACTTTTGAATGCTGGTGGTGCTTTCACTCCAGTGGTAGCATGAGACAGAGTCTACAACCCACACAACTGGCTCAGGTAGTGCAGCTCATCCAGGATGGCACATCAATGCGAGCTGTGGCAAGAAGGTTTGCTGTGTCTGTCAGCGTAGTGTCCAGAGCATGGAGGCGCTACCAGGAGACAGACCAGTACATCAGGAGACATGGAGGAGGCCGTAGGAGGGCAACAACCCAGCATCAGGACCGCTACCTCCACCTTTGTGCAAGGAGGGACAGGAGGAGCACTGCCAGAGCCCTGCAAAATGACCTCCAGCGGGCCACAAATGTGCATGTGGCTGCTCAAACAGTCAGAAACAGACTCCATGAGGGTGGTATGAAGGCCTGATGTCCACAGGTGGGGGTTGTGCTTACAGCCCAGCATCATGCAGGACATTTGGCATTTGCCAGAGAACACCAAGATTGGCAAATTCGCCAGTGGTGCCCTGTGCTCTTCACAGATGCAAGCAGGTTCACACTGAGCACATGTGACAGACATGACAGGGTCTGGAGATGCTGTGGAGAACATTCTGCTGCCTGCAACATCCTCCAGCATGACCGGTTTGGCAGTGGATCAGTAATGGTGTGGGGTGGCGTTTCTTTAGGGGGCTGCCCAGCCCTCCATGTGCTCACCAGAGTTAGCCTGACTGCCATTAGGTACCGAGATGAGATCCTCAGACCCCTTGTGAGACCATATGCTGGTGCGGTTGGCCCTGGGTTCCTCCTAATGCAAGACACTGCTAGACCACATATGGCTGGAGTGTGTCAGCAGTTTCTCCAAGGTGAAGGCATTGATGCTATGGACTGGCCCCACCCGTTCCCCAGACCTGAATCCAATTGAGCACTTCTGGGACATCATGTCTTGCTCCATCCACCAACGACACATTGCACCACAGACTGTCCAGGTGTGGGAAGAGATCCCTCAGGAGTCCATCCACCACCTCATCAGGAGCATGCCCAGGCATTGTAGGGAGGTCATACAGGCACATGGAGGCCATACACACTACTGAGCCTCATTTTGACTTGTTTTAAGGACATTACATCAAAGTTGGATAAGCCTGTAGTGTTTTTTTCCACTTTAATTTTGAGTGTAACTCCAAAACCAGACCTCCATGGGTTGCTAAATTTGATTTCCATTGATAATTTTTGTGTGATTTTGTTGTCAGCACATTCAACTATGTAATGAACAAAGTATTTAATAAGAATATTTCATTCATTCAGATCTAGGATGTCTTATTTTTGTGTTCCCTTTATTTTTTTGAGCAGTGTCGTATACAATGCTATGGCATGGACAAGGAGAATAAAACATAACAAAATCTCATTTAATCCAAGCCCAGCATAAGGTCATATTTAAAAATATGGAATTATAGATCCTTCTTTCCCTCCCTCCCTCTCTGATTGATTATGAGCCATCAAATTGCTGTGCCTACATTTTCTCCATGATGATCTATGTCTAACCCGGTCCTTCAGGCCTTCCATTAGTAGTGAATGCTATTCACTCATTGCCACTGTAACTGAGTCCATCTACCTTGGTTACTGGGAGATTAGCTTGAATATATAAGGCATCATACTCCTTTACCAACCTGAAAAAAGTCTGCTTCAGTATGTTCTATCATGCTATGACTTCCTGACCTGTATATAAGTTTTTTTGTGAGGACAATGAGATATTCCAATACTGTATTTCCATTTTTTTGAGCTCATTCCACTGCTTGATGTATCGTCAAATTGATCAAGCACATAGTGACAAAGTGTGGATGCTCTTTGTTTTTCTCAAAAATCCAGTCATCATCAGCAATCACATCTTCTCTAAAGCCAGCTTCAACATTGGGTTTCTCTAAAGCCAGCTTCAACATCTGGCATTTTTTCCATGTGGGGCTGTAATCTACACTGAATGACCTCGGGTATTATTTTGTTAGCATGTAAAATTAAGGGTATTGTATGATAGTTTTCATGGCTAAGACACCTTTTTAAAAGCATTGGAAGGTAAATTCACCTCTTCTGTGTTGGAGAGTTGATTGTTTTCTAGATGTCTAGGTGTAGCCTGGGTTATAACCTTCTGTTGCTTTCCATATTTCTGTGGGTATTCTATCAGTTCCTGTAGCCTTCCAATTTGGTAATAACACACACAAACATTGTGTGTGTGTGTGTATGTGTGTAATAACCAAAGTGTTAATCTAACTTCATCTTCTCGTCCTCTTGTGCAGAGGTTCTTGCGAGTACTGAATATCTTATACGGTATCTTGGATGTTAAACATTTCTACAGTACATTAGACATCTTTGTTGATCTCCTTTGAAATGGTTATTATCTGTCTACATGCATTCTTTAGCATATCAATTTGAGGTTGGAACTTTCTGAATTCAGAGATCTATGTATACACAAACTATGAGTAAGATAACTAAAATATGAAATTTCTAGAAGCTCTAGAGCTCTAAAATACTTATAGGACAAAAATCTACTAAAAAGTACAAGTAGTACTTGCTCAATGACCAATCACTTAACAACTATTTGAAGTTACAACGGACCCCTCCCCTGAGAGATACAATCCAATGTTGAAGTTCTGACAGCTACAATTCCCGCCCCCTCCCAATCATGAGATTACATTTGGAGTGCTTGGCAACTAGCTCAGTTTTATGGCCAATTGCATGATCCCATGGTCACCTGACTGTGATTTTCAATATTTTTGCTGGTCTCTGGTGTTTACATCTATTTCCAATAAAAACTGTCCATTGGATAAAATGGATTCATTTAATGATACCATGCTCACTTCACAATTGCAGCATTCACTTAAAAACCACCACAAAAAAGGAAGTCTTTTGTAGACCATGCCACAATAATCCTTTCTATATGTAATTCAGACAGATTAAGTCACGAATAACTCTGTGTGTGTGTGTGTGTGTGTGTGTGTGTGTGTGTGTGCGCGTGTGTGTGATTATTCTTTTGTGAGATTACTACTCATTTATTCTTGGATTAACAGAAAGACCAAATCGATTTTACTTTCAAATCTCCTGAATCAAAATTTAGTTTGTACATCTGCATATTGTTCCAAGGCAACAGTTATACCCTACCTTGTTTAGTGACCCTATACTGTCCAATAGACTAAAACTATATCCATCATCCAAAGATCTATATTTTTCCATCAGAATTCAACATACAAACAAAATCAAAACTTTGATGTTTGAAGAAAAATTATTTTTAGTGGATTGTTGAAAGCAATGTTGGGTAACAAGCAAAAAAATAATGTGCAATGTCAATTTTAACTTTACTTCTCAATTGTAGAAAATCCCCTGAAATGAAATTGGGCAGAAGTGGAATTTCTTCCATAAATCTTTTGATCCCACCCACAAAGTGTTTTGTAGAAATGTTCAGTTCATGTTTCTGCTCTTGATATTCTAATCGATCATCACCATCCAGGCCACTTTTAAAACCATACAAATTTGCTTTATTATTATCTCATTAATCATAACAAGAAAATGCAGTGATCAGATTTCTACATATTCTTTGGTATCTCTAAGATTGCAAAATGGCTTTATTTAAAAATTTATTAAATTTAGGTGCTGCTCAACCCAGAAGTACTCATTCATCATAGTACTAGTCCTATTTTCTAAATTTTTCCTAATCCTTCCCAGGATACAAGTTTTTTTTCTTTTTTAAAAACAGCAGCAGGATGGTGGGTTGAAATATTTTTCAGCTATCCTACATGTCCATAGTATTCCTTTCCTGCTCAGCCACAACCAGTTGAGATCCCACTTATATAAAGATGAAGCTTTGATTTTTGTGCCAACTTTCATTACTTTATATTTTTTGAAATTGGCAAAGCCTTGAGAAGGATACAATTATTTGATGATGAGTGCTACTGAAAAATCTAGATGTCCATTGTAAACGCCCCATGTTTATTCATCACTCTGCTTTACAGGAATAATCCAGCCATTCAAGTCACAGTTCCTAAAGCAACCAGACTGAAGGATTTCAGTCCAATCTGCTTAGAAAGAATGAGGTAGGTTTATCTGAGATCTCTATCAAAACATATTTGCTGCAGTGAAAATCATTTATGAATCTTATCATCTTTGATAAAAATGCAGAGAGATACATTTCATAGAATTTAGAACATAATCCTACCACTACCTGCTTTAGAATAGCTAAGAATTCTGACATTAGCAAAATAAATGCAGTACAAATGATAATGTTCAAAATGTTATACCTGACATTTCTTTAAACAAAGGAAATTCCCAATCCCAAGTAATTATAGATAAAATGCCTTTAGGAGGGAGGGAGAGAGATAGAAAGAGAGATAGAGAATTGCACGTATACGGGGTTTTTAAAACGCATAATTTCTTGCATGCTGTAGGCATTTAGTTTTAAACAGGTGGTCTTAAAAGGAAGCTGAATTGGTATCTGTTGATAGAAATGGGCTGTATAGTAGAACCAATGTAATGTTTCAAAGGAATGTTTGTTTCAATAAAGATCAAGGGTGGGATTCCATTGGTATAACAACCAGTTCAGTGATCGTGCACATGCACCACTTTTAAAAAGGCTCTTATACCTCCTTCTACTACAATCCCTACGAATAAAAACAGCTGAGGTGCGTAAATCAGCTGTACTCTAAAAAAAGGAAATAAAGCACAGGAAAGAGCAGGAACAGGCGGGCCCACATGCTTGTCGCAGCAAACTGGTTTGCTGTCAGCTGATCTTCGGAGCAAGGGGTTTGCCTGAACCAGTCCAAACCAGTAGCCCTGAATCATCCTCAAAACTGTTTTGAGAAACAGTGTGGTTCCTTAGTACCAAAAAAAAACACTTGTGTTATTTCACCTCACAATGTGTGTTGAAGATGGATTGTGCAAGGGGCATTTTTTCATGGACTGGAAGTCTGTCTGGGATGCCTTGATCAAACACTACAGGCAATACCAGAGTTGGTATTGCTTTGCCAAGGTCAATTGGGCATATCTTCACTTTCAGTGAAGAGAATCATGTTGCCTTCAAGATGCAGTTCGCTTTTGCAAAGCAAATCTAAATTTCTTTGCACAAGCAGAGTTACTAGTTCATAGGTATCAGGTTTGTGTGTGAACACTTATAAGTTTGTCACTTCTAGATAAACAGAAATTTAAACCAATAGTAATTGGAAACTACATTAGTAGTTTCTAAATGAGGATTACCTATATTATTATTATTATGGTTAATTTTAAATTTGATTCACAGACTGGGACTTATTATTAATTATTAATTTTATCTCACCTTTTTAATATATAACTGAAAGTGTGTAATATCTCTAATATACCTGTCCTCCCTGTTGGTTAACTGCTCTCATTCATCTTAAATTGGTGCATCAATTACATCTGCTGTTAAAAATGTCATATCTGTCACTCTCAATTTCTCTGTTTTCCCAATTGTCAAAAATGTAAATACATTTTCATTAGAAGAAGCAGTCATTTTATTGGCACATTTCTTAATGGATTTTTCAATTTGCATTATTATTTTTTATATAATGCATTTTTGTCTATATAACTCAATAGATTAATTTGTAAGCATATATTTCTCTTACACAAATATAACAAATGGAGTATGGATTCAGTTCCATGAAAGTACAGATGCTGCTTCTAGTTTAGCTTGACTTCTGGTAACTTTATATACCAGAAGGTAGTAATAATATAGAAATGATTTGTCACCGCTGCCTTTGGGGATTTTATCCAACTTCTCACTCTAATCTAACTTTGTGGAAGTTTTTGATTGACTTTCATCCATGTACTAAGTAGATTTAATTGGTGAGGTATTATGAATCAAATGCAACTGAAGGAAGGGAATGGAATGGGTTGCATTTAGAAAGACCTAGAAGACCATGAACCAGTTGGACTATTATGTTGCTTAATCTAAGCCTTCAGAACAAAACAAAGACACATTTATCAACAAAAATAAAGAATCTGCAAAATGTAATTCAAGAAAGGTGAATGTGCTTGAATTAAATATTAAGAATGCAATGGTGCATTTATTTATTTGTAGGTAAATTCCACTCAAGTAAAATGGGATTAAATTCGGTTATTTCACTGCTCACTGGGATGCTATTCATAAGTTCCTTTCACACTAAAATAGCTCTTAATTATTCCAGTTCCTTGGAAAGGGTGTGATAATCAGAAGCATCAAATTGAATCAGAACTATTTGGTAGACTGTATGTTAATAGCAATAATAATTATATAAATGTTTCAGTTATGATGGTAATCTCATTTCCCTCAGGGAATTTGTGAAAGAGGATAGGAATGAACAGCCTCTGATGAAATACATTTCAGTGTGTATCTGATTAACTGCTCTGTCTTAGCACCTGCATCACAAATGAAATTTCAGCTTTTCTAAAAATAGGAATCAGATTTTTAATAGTTTGTTTCTTGGCACTGTTTTTATTTTTTCTTAATATTGATCAAGGAGACAGAATTTGTGGCCTCTCAGATAATATGAATATCTTTCCAACATAACTTGTTATTTGCTATAATTTCAAAGCCTGTTTTAGCTTAATAATATCTGCAGGACTGGAGTGCCTTAAACATGGTTTTGATTCTGTTTATTCAATGATCATCATTATGGAGAAATATTACATTATGTAATATGCAATATTGGAACTATAGGAGTTGTTTCAGCCCATGGAAGGGAAGGTGGCATGGGAAATGTTTCAGAATGGGCTCCTTTTAACTGTTTACTTAGTAAAAAGATAGCGAGAGAAATACTTCCACTCTTGCAAGATTCTGTAATGTAACCTTACAATAAATATAGAGTTGCTAGCCCTAGATATGCTTCTTTTCTCAGCTACCTGACAGGGCTAACAACAGGTTCAACAGGTATTCAACAGGTTCTGACCAGTTCTGGAGAACCGGTAGCAGAAATTTTGAGTAGCTCAGAGAACCAGCAAATACCACTTCTGACTGGCCCTGCCCCCATCTATTCTCTGCCTCCCAAGTCCGAGCTGATCAGCTGAGTCTTGTTTTGTAGCCATGCACAGGAGAACAGAGCTGGAAAGCAGGTTAGTGGGATGGGGAGGGAATGGGATTTTGCAATAACCTTCCCTCAGGAGTGGGGAGAGAATGTGGATTCTCCAATATCCACATCCCTGCCATACCCACAGAACTGATAGTAAAAAAAATTGAATCCCACCACTGGCTAACACCTAGCAATTTCATGTGTGTGTAAAAAAAATATGAAAGACAAAATGGACTTTTGAGGGACCACATTACTCAGCTTCTGAATGAGACTATCCGAAAGTTTCATGATAGGAACAGAGCAATACTCTCAATTCCCAAAATTTCCAGGTGGTCCATAAAGTTTTTGAAATTTAGGAAAACCCAAACAATAATAATTTTCTATCTCCCTCCAAGGATCGTCCATCAGAATGACCAAGGAGCATCACCCTCACAGCCTCATTTGAAATCAATCTAAAACATTTATCTTAATTACCTAGTTCAAGTAATGGAAGAAACTGACCCACAGTTGACAATGTCTGAAAGATCAAGGAAGGATTTCTTAAAAAGTGATCAAAGGTGCCTTCTTTAAACAAGAAAGAAACTTTTCTGGTCTTAAAATTGTATTAATGATACTGTACTATGTCAATTCCTCTAAACAGGGAATTTAAGTTATGCTGAGTAATGATGTGGAAGATTATACTTTATTTTTCTTTTCAGACCTACATCATTTATTGGTTGTTATTGTACAAGAAACTCATAAGCTGAATTACAAAACCTTAAATTCATTCAGTTCTTAAAACTATTAAGATATATTGATTCTAAATAGGACTTTCCAGAAGAGTCAGAAAACCATTTCTGTGGTGAGGTATCTATTCTGAAAAATGCATATGATATTGAGAAACAAAATGTCACTTATTTGCATCTATATACATTTTCCACTCCTGAAGATGGGAGACAACTATTACCCAGGCCTAGGGAATTAATTCTGGGTCCTGCCAAAGTCAAAGGTGACACATAGGCATAATGAAATTAGTTTCAGAATATACCAACACACATATTGATTCAAGGAAGAGGTATATGGGCTGTGTTGTTGTTTTAAATTGCTACACTCTTAAAACTAAAAAGCAGAACTACTCTTAAAATTTACAACTATTTTAAAATTTAAACAAATAGTGAACCAAATAGTGAACGTTGTATTATTTTGGAAATATTAGACTTCCCACATAAGGTAGATCTGTAATTTGTATAGTTTGCATTTTAATATCAATCAACTAGATTGTATTTCCTGAATGAACATGAAAATTGGAACTGAATCCTTTGGTTTCTTTGTATTTCAAATCTTTCAATATAGTTTTCCAATTAAAGTTGCATATAAAATGCTCTCATTAGGAGAACCCACAGACAAAAATAAATACATAAGTGGAAACTATAGAAATACGGAAGGAAGACTTCTCAATGGCTGTTTCTGGCCATCAGGACTCCCTGACATTTCAACTAATTGTGGTGGAATGTAGTCTGGAATCCCAAGAGGGAGGAGTTCTTTCCAAGAGGGTAAAGAGACAGTGGAGCTTGGAGTGTCTGGTAGTCACGAAGAGGGCCAAGGTGGACCCTCCCTAGCAATTCCCAAGAGAATCTCTAATAGTTATTCGGATAGTTGATTTGGCTGGGCAAGATTAATGTCAGACCCAAAGAACCAAGAGCTACGCATGGATTTACTTCTGAGTAGTTCTTTACTGTTACTTGCCTACAGACAAAATTATAACAAGCACTACCAAAGCACTAATTTCTCTCCCTATAAAAAGACAAACATATCTTTGCCTTTAGATGTTGAAAATTAAATATGATTACGTTTATTCAGAAGTCTTCAACTGTTGCAAGTAACACTGAAATGAGTAACTAAAAAAAACATTTCAAGCCACATCTATTAGCATTAGCATAGGACCACATCATAGGCAAAGGGCGTTTAGCTTATAATAGTTCACAATAAATATTACATGACAAATGAGATGGTGAAAAGGAACACCATTTAAGCAGTGAGAAAAGTGAATGAGTCAT